TAGGGGTCATCTATTGTAAATGACCAATCTTCATATAAAGTTAGAAGTTCCTAGACCAAGCGTTCTTTAGTTTTTGATCAGAACAGATTTTACTTACAAGGTCAATGTGACATTGACCTTTGACCCCAAAATCAATAGGGGTCATCTACTGGTCATGACCACTCATCATACCAAGTTTGAAGTTCCTAGGCTTTAGGGTCCTTATGGTATAGAGTGGAAACCGTTTTTAACTTGAAGTAAATGTGACCTTGACCTTTGACCCCTTGACCCAAAAATCAATAGGGTTCATCTGCCGGTCATGACCAATTACCATACCAAGTTTAAAGTTCCTAGGCCTAAACGTTCTTACGTTTTTGATCGGAAACCATTTTTATCTTCAAGGTCAATGTGACCTTGACCTTTAACCCCACATCAATAGGGTTCATCTGCTGGTCATGACCAATCACCGAACCAAGTTTGAAGTTCCTAGGCCTAAGCGTTCTCTAGTTATTGATTGGAAACCATTTTCACCTACGAGGTCAGAGTGACCTTTACCTTTGACCCCTTGACCCAAAAATTAATAGGGGTCATCTACTGGTCATGACTAATCACCATACTAAGTTTTAAGTTCCTAGGCCTAAGCACTTTTTAGTTATTGATCGGAAACCGTTTTTCTCTACAAGGTCAATGTTACCTTGACCTTTGACCCTTTAAGCCCAAAATCAATAGGGGTCATCTACTGGTTATGACCAATCACCATTATACCACGTTTAAAGTTCCTAGGCCTTAGCGTTCTTTAGTTATTAATCGAAAACCGTTTTTACCTACAAGGTCAATGCGACCTTGACCATTGACCCCTTGACCCAAAAATCAATACAGGTCATCTTCTCGTCATGGTCAATCACTATTCCAAGTTTGAAGTTCCTATGCCTAAGCATTCTTTAGTTATTGATCGGAAACCGTTTTTACCTACAAAGTCACTGGGCCTTGACCTTTGACCCCTTGACCCAAACATCAATAGGTGTCATCTACTGGTCATGACTGATCGCCACACTAAGTTTGAAGTCCCTTGTCCTTAGCGTTCTTAAGTTATTGACCAGAAACAGTTTTTACAAGGTCAATGTGACCTTGACCTTTGACCCTTCACCCAAAAATTAAACAGGGGTCATCTACTGAACAAGACCAATCACCATACCAAGATTGAAGTTCCTAGGCCTAAGCGTTCTTTAGTTATTGATCGGAAACCGTTTTTACTTTCAAGGTCAATGTGGCCTTGACCTTTGACCCCTTGACCCAAAAAACCAAGTAGGTGTCATCTACTGGTCATGACAATCACCAAACCAAGTTTGATTTTTCTAGGCCTAAGGGTTCTTTAGTTATCACTCGGAAACCATTTGGTCTACGGACCGACGGACCGACGGATCAACGGACCGACGGACCGACAGACAGACAAATGCAAAGCAATACACCCCCTCTTCTTTGAAGTGGGGGCATAATTAACGTATTATTTATCGTAACTTTTTGATCTTATAGAGGAGTGCATTTACTTAAAATTTTGTAGACGTTTCCCTCGAATAAACTAAAGCAGACTTATTATTTTGAATTTGTGAGAAATATTTATCTATGTAAACCTAAAAGCACCAAGCATATTCACTATCAAATGCTTTTTATTACTTTATTGATATGTGTAGTCTTTAACCTACTAGATTTCTAGAATGAAATGTAAGTTGTATATAATTTAAACTGTCCATTAATGCTTGGAATATCCAATTGAAAATTAAGTTAGGCAGTCTACAGTATGGAACCAATTAAAACTGCACGGATGTAGGTTTTTTGGTCTTAAGGTTGAAATCTCCACTTTATATTTATAGCTTATATTAAATTTGAGATTGTAAAGAAGGGCAAATACTATGCAGACCATATTAGATGCATAAGCTTAACATTTTATCTCCTGATGGCATCAATGCAAAAGTTGTATTCAATGTATAACTTTGTCATCTTTCAAACATATTATTGGGTCGTATACATGTAGTTTTATTATGAGGAGTTTTTTATGAGGAGTTTTGTATCATGTGTGTAGATCCATATCCTTTCTTTATTGTATTTTAAATTGTTGTATTTTTTAATTGAAAGGTTTTGTTTTTATTTGACAAAGCTTTCATTTAAACGTTAACTTCACGTTCCGTTCAGCGGAAAGTTAAACGAGTGTTACTTCACATATTTTATAAACGTCAATCTTCTAAAAACTAAAGAAAACGTTTTGTTTTTACTGAACTGATTATATATAAATTTGGATGAAAAATAATTGTCATTTCTCTTTACTGTATGTTATTTAAGAAATAATATATCACAAGCTAAATAAAATGTTTGTTGGTCGGATGCGAGGAATTATATCACGAGGACGTAGCCCGAGTGATAATTAATGATGCGCATCCGGACAACAAACATTGATTCTTTGTCATGGGTTATTTATGATGTCCAGTAATGATGCTAATTTGATCTTAATTTATTTCATATAAACGTTCAACCTGTAAAATCAGACGAATAATTAGAAACATAAATGAATAACGTTTATCGTAAAATAAACAAATTTTGCCTAACTTAATATTGAAAATCCGCCTCACATTTTTATACAAACAACATATTAGTAATAATGAAAAAAAGTTTACTATAATTTTAGTGAGGGAAAAAAGAAGTGTTTTTTGAAATATATAGTAATAAGACTATTTTCAGCACCTGTTGTAACTTGAAATATGAAAGAAGGTTTAGCCACAGAACACACATTTCCTTTAATCTTTGAAACATAATTAAATCTTTGAATATCAAAATGTTCACGAATAACAAGACAGATCGTATAAAGATTTATCAAAGATTTATTGCATTTCTTCAGAATTAATCTTATGTATTCAGTGAGCACATTTAATGTCACGAATGCGCCTGGATACGAGTACTTTTTAAAGCTGCAATATTAACCAGGTTAAATTTTACGAAACTCTTTCCATTATTTAAAATGAGTATTTATTTTTTTAAATATTTCCATTACGAGGACTGTTCAATAAATACGCGGAAAAGTGTCGCTATTTCCTTATTTTCCAAGTTAGCTAAATAAAACTTATACAGTAATAGAGACAAACATATTTTGAAAATATACAGCAAATATTGCCGTTCTGGCATTAATCATATGTTAACAAACGGTCGTTATGGTAACCACATGTAGCGATTACCGGCCAACTTTTGTTCATTTTTACAAATAGTCACTGGTTAATAATGACGTCGCATTTTAACGTTTACCGTGCGATTTTCACCAGACTTTGCATAATTTACGCGCAAAATGTTGGCCTTACGCACATGACGTCATCTTAGTGTGTGACGTCATTTAGGTATTTAGCGGCCATATTGTTTAGTGAGTATGCGTTAAAATTGCATCAGAACAACGATCTTCAATGAAATTTTGTGGTTTGAACGGGTTTTTTCGAAAGAAAGATTACAAAGAGCATATGGTGATCAGGCGATGAAGAAAACAGCAATGTACAAGTGGTATGCCCGATTTCTAGGCGGCCAACAAAGCATCCATGACGACAAACGCAGTGGACGTCCCAACGTAACGTCAAATAACGTCGCTGTGATAAAGGAGCTGCTTGACAATGATCGTCGGATAACAAATCGCGAAATACACGAAAGATCGGATTGTAGCATTAGCACAGTGCATTGCATTATTCATACTGATAACGCAATGTAATTACATATGGTTAAAATGCCTCAGTAGTCAACCTAGTATCACACATCTTACCGAAACGAAATAAAAGCTATGTAAATAAGGCAATACCGCTTAAATATTTTCTGTCATTTCAAGTACTTGTGTTTATTTAGATAAACCGCTCAGTTATCAAAAACTTAACAATCGTATATAAATTTACAAGCACTTTGTATGAAGTCATTTTGGTGAAATTCATCTATGTCATAAATATCCAAATCACGGGGATTTAAAATAGTTATTAAAAACGTCTCGCTGTCACATCCTTTCAGACAATTACTGAATTCACGAATATATTGTCTTTTAGCACTATTAAGGAATGTTTTTTGAGTCCTTTTAAGTTTAATACAATTTGAGATTTCATGGAGATTTAGTTTACTTGTTTGAGAACCGCACTTCTAGATTTTCATACAACATATGTTTCTATGTGTCGTCCATATTGTTATTTTGTCATGTGTTGTCAAGAAATACGTTTCTGATTTGCAAAATACAAATATTTTGACATTGCTAACAATGGCTTCTTTGATCTAGATGTTGTTGTTGATAAAAGATTCTCAAATTTAAACATATTTGGCAAATTACAATATATAGGTTCTTTTCTAAGTTTATAAATTTGCATCACGAATCTGTAGGCATGCTGCTTTAATAGTTTTATCTTCTTTTTCCATTGTACGCTTTTATTTAAACATTCTTTGCCTCAACTGTATACATTACTGTTTCAAATCTTATCAAATCTGCATTAAACCATATAAATTTTCATGAAAATTAGCACGAATCTGGAGGCATGCTGCTTTAATATTGTTATCATCTTTTTCCATTGCACGGTATGATATAAACATTCTTTTCCACAACTGTATACATTACTTTTTTAAATCTTATTAATTCTGCAGTAAAAAAAACTGAAAATAAAGTGATCCCTCGGAAGCATTAATCACAACAAAATTACATGTGAATTTCAGACTCGGTTTGATTGAGTCTGTACATGAGGGATAATGAATAGTTGAAACATCCCTCACGCCCCTAGCACCGGCTGGAGTGGTACTCGATTCTCAACACTTAATAGTTCTGGCATCAATGATCCCCAAGGACCAGAAAAATATAATAACACTGAAGTGAAGTACGGGGCAACTTTTTACAAACCATATCTTAAAAAATCCCCATTTCGTTCACTGAATCTAAATTTAGTATGTAGTACATTTATCATTGATAAGCGACATGTTAACCTATGAGCGCCGGGGTTTACGTCATAACGGGTATATTGCACATAGCAACGACAAGATGTACACCGATAAGTTCTTTGAGACTATGCTAGTGATGTGCACTTTTCTTAGATTTTAATCCTGTTTGGTATTCAGGAAAATGGACTGTAACACAAATTAAAGTACATTTCCGACAGTTTAATTATAGGTCATAGTGATAAAATGTGATTAAAACGAAGGGGGTGTTTTAGCCTAGATATACACGTCATACTTTCGACATAGAGGTAAGTTTTTACATATGTTTTACAAAAAGAATACGACGTATAACATTCATTTAAGTTTTAGATTTGTCAATGAGTGTAAATTTAAGTTAATCTTTAGCTGTAAAACGGAACAACATGGCTATGTAGGCGGGCTAATTTTACCGATAAGAGAGGTCAATATTCTAGATCATTCGCGATGATAAATCACTAAGCCTAAATATATCGACTGCAAGACTGATTGATTTACAAAGACCTTAAGTTACAAGTCGTCCAGGATCTAGCCACTGAGTGTCTGTTACCAGGTTCGATTCTCGGATGGCGCAGGTCATTTTCGTTGTGACTGATCATCATGAAGTCCTCTAGCTACAGTCATTCGCACTGTATCTCTGCTCTTGTATGTAGTCGAGAAATCAGTTCCTTGCAAAAGTGAAAGCAACTCATACTGGTTAACTGCTAGACAGCCTGCCAATGAACGTTGTTGTGATTGTATTGTGCTCTTTTAAAGTTTATGTGGCTTACTGTCGTGATCAGTTGTGAAAACTACCACCACAAATCACCGGATGGTAATACGTATCGTCGAATGTTTGCATAAAATCGATGCAATACATATTTGTCTATCAAAAATGTCTATGAATAGATCTACCGCTTTTAAACCGTGCTTTAAGTTATCAACATATTTTACCAAAATAGTTTAAATTTGAAAAAGGTATTTGCCTATAAGTGATTGATGTTTAAAACATCGTAAGTACGGTCAAATTCATTTATAAATGAAATAAAAAAAACCTGATATATTTGTGTTCTAAAAAAGCGACGGCATTTTAGAAATATTGTTATTATTTTACTTTAATTGCATTAAATGTACCAATCGTAAAGTTCCTTCACATGACCTTCGTGTACAAATCCACAGTACTTATAACACCATTCATAGAATGTGGTATAATGAAGTGAAGGAAACGCAAAACTTAACTGTAACATTTTAATACTACAAGTGTACAAACGTCCACTCTTGAAATTCCAACTAACTCTACTGGGCTTTAGACCACTATATATCATGACAGCTAGCCACATAAAATCTTACGAAATACGTATAGTACTCCCAAATATATCATCAATCATTCTGACATATGAACTTCGTACACTTTTCAAATATATGATTTGCGAAATAAAATAAAAGCCTTAACGTTTATGTATATGTCGACTTGTCATTTATAATAATATACAACATTTATCTCAATTATACAAATAACTGATACTTCGATGTTATAATCTATTTTCGGGAAATGGTGAGATGTTTATGATTGATAAGGATATTCTCACTTAATCAACTGAAATAATTGCGGAATACTGAAGAAAGCAACAACAACAATAACAACAACTGAGCTTTCATGGAATATTGAAAAGTGATTTTCTAGTTTTTCAAGTTTATTTGATTATCTCAATATGCATACAAATAATAAATTCAAGAAAAAGAATCCTAAATAAATATAAAATAGATAAATACAGAATCCCTAAAGAAAGCCCAACACGGCAAAATTGAAAATGTTAAACCATGTTTTGACATGCTTATGGTAATGTTCATTTTAAGTGTCCTGAATTGATTTGTAGATAACGTAGTGCAAGAAAAAAGAAAAGTAAAGAAAAATTAATCTGTAATTTAGAAGATAAAAGGCAAATTCCTTGATAAGGAAGGATTTAACATCTTAAAAAGGAAAACGTGTATTTTACGGTTATTGTATTTTAGGGTTGTTTAATAGCCAAATTCACTTAGTTATACATGTTTTATGGTTTGACGCAGATTAAACAAATAAATAATGAATAACGAACTATCTTACTAGTTGTCTCCCTTAAAACATGGCGCACGTGTAATGTTCTGCTCTTATAGTTTTGCAAAAGGGGGATTGATTTTACCGCATTCGAATTGGTTTGTTCTGATGCCGATCCAGAAAAGATGTAAACTTAAGTGTTCAACTTGTGAGTCGGCAAAGTGTTAGTGTGTGTTTGAGACTTGCTATCTTTCTCTCCGTGCTAACCATACTGGGTGGGGATGTTGAAATGACCCCTGGGCAGCTCAAACAACAGAAACCTAGAACATTATTTTTGCCGATGTCTCTGCTGCAGAAACGCCACCATCATCCCCGTCCCAAAGAACAACACGAGCCTATGCTAAGATGGCAAATGATTCTGAGGTTATTGCTTTCTTACGAGAAAAAAAACTGAAATAAAGACTGATTTTTCGAATATGAACAGTAAAATTGACGATTAAAATAAAACAGTTAACGTTCTTAAAAGTGAAAGATTACGCCAAGGAAACAGGTACTTTCTAATCTATCTGTAAAGTTAGAAATGATCAACAAGGGTCATTTACATAGAATTAATTTACGATTTCATGGAATTGAAGGTCGTATTTTTTCCTGAGTGCTGAGAGGAAAGTGAACGGATTCAGAAGGTAGAGACTTTTTTCTAATACACTAAATTGGGAAATGTTATGATTGAGCAGGCAGTTTACGATCGAACAGTTGCCCCAATATTGCGAAGTTTAGCAAATACAAGGACCGAGAATCTGTACTACGGCGGCTTGTCAAAATCTAAACTTGCAATCGCAGTATTCAGTGCGTGAGGATAACACTGAGCGTGTACAATACAACATGCAAGAACTGACCAAAATTTAACTTGACATTTTAATAATAATTATGTTATACCTTAATATGTATTTTTTGCCGGAGGCCTTTATGTACAAATACATTATTTGAGTTGAGTAGAGTAAGATATTCTAACTATTTATGTATGTATACATTGTCTTTTATGCTACTAGATAACCATATTAATTGCAAATTTGAAATGACATTAATTAAGATTGTGTGTAAACTTTTTAGGTATGTAAATTTTTCATGAAATATTAACTTAAAATAAATATTTGGTGCAGTCAAAGTTTGTGATAAGTTCTGATCTGTTGCACAAACACTTTTTTATGCTTCCCGAAGGGTGGGCATATAGGCGCCGTATTGTCCGTCCGTCTGTCCGCTATTCTTATCCTGGACATTGAATTTGAAACTACAAGATAAATCAACATGAAACTTTGTAGGTAGATAGATCTCATTGTGTAAAAGTGCAGTGCTAAAAACATAACTCTGTCTTGCCTAATGTTATTGTCTTTGTTTATTTTTCATACTTTTAACTTTGTCCAGGACATTACCCTGAAAATATAAGAATTTTCAACATTAAACTTTGTAGGTAGATATATACTATGGGATAGAAGAGCATTGCAAAAAACCATGAGTCTGCCTTGCCTTATATTGAGGTTATTGCCCTTTATTTCTTTTTACACTTTGAAATTTGTCCGGGACATAACTCTGACACTAAATGAGATATAATGTTCTGTGTCCGAAACCTATTTGGAAGTATCGCCCAGTTCAACCAGCTGTTGTCCGAATAGTTTTGAATCATAAGTGGGTTGTGTGCGATGGAGGACTATCGTTTATAATAACACACTGGCGAACAATTTGTTGGGCTAATAAATCACCCGTATCTTATATTCGATCTCTACTACATTGTAGCATTATATTTTGTCCCCGTTGATAATTTACTAAACTGGTACTGTGTCAGCGAAGGGAATTTACCTTCCCAACATTTCAACATAATTTTTATGGCCCTGCAATGGTTCAGCTGGATAGGCTCAGGAGTTTGGGTAGATCGTAAAACAATAAACAAGTCAAGACAGTTTCTCGTGGGCTATTATCAGCTCACCTGAACACGAAGTGTTCAATGCAATGTAAACTTTCACTATCTCAAAATGTAACCTACACTATCTCAAAATGTAACCTTCACTAGCTCGAAATGTAAAATACATTATATCAAAATGTTACCTACACTTTCTCAAAATGTAACATACATAATCTCGAAATGTAACCTACACTTTCTCTAAATGTAACCTTCCTTATCTCGAAATAAAAATTACTCTTTCTCAAAAAATAACATATATTCTCACGAAATGTAACCTTAAATAGCTCAAGATGTAACCTACACTATCTCGAAATGTACTAGACATTATCTCGAGACGTAACCTACATAATCTCGAAACGTAACCTACATTATCTCGAAATGTTACCTTCACTTACTCGAAATGTTACCTACCCTATCTCGAAATTTACCCTTCACTATCTCGAAACATAATCTAAACTCCCTCAAAATGTAATCTACACTATCTCGAAAGGTTATTGACAGTGTCTCGAAATGTAACCGACATATCGAAAAGTAATTTACACTATCTCAAAATGTAACATAAACTATCTTGAAATGCAATCTACACTATCCTGAAATGTATTCTACATTATTTCAAAATAGAACATATATCATCTCAAAATGTAACCTACACTATTTCGAAATGTAACCTACACTTTCTCGAAATGTAACATACATTATATCGACATGTAACATACACTATCTCGAAACGTAATATACATTATCTCGAAACGTAACATACATTATCTCAAAATATAGCCTACAATATTTCGAAATGTAACCTACATTATCTAGAAATGTTACCTACACTAACTCGAAATGTTATCTACACTGTCTCGAAATTTGAACTACACTATCTTGAAATGTAATCTACACTCTTCGAAATGCTACCTACACTATCTCAAAATGTAACCTACACAGTTTCGAAATGTAACCTACACTATTTCAGAATATAACCTACATTATATCAAAATGTAACCTATACTAGGTCGAAATTTAACCTACACAATCTCGAAATGTTACTTACACTGTCTCGAAAAGTAAGCTACATTATGATAAAATGTAATCGACACTTTCACGAAATGTAACCTACACTATCTCAAAATGTAACCTACACTATCTCGAAACGTAACCTACACTATCTCCAAATGTAACTGACATTATCTCGAAATGTTACTTACACTGTCCCGAAAAGTAGCCTACATTATGATAAAATGTAATCGACACTTTCACGTTATTTAACCTACACTAGCTCAAAATGTGATTAACATTACATCAAAATGTTAACTACACTATGTCAATATGTATCCTACATAATCTAGAAATTATAACTTTTATTATCTCGAAATATAAGTTACTATGTCTCAAGATGTAACCTATACTATCTCAAAATGTAACACACACTATCTCAAAATGTTACTAACGATAAACATTATCTCGAAATGTAACCTATATTATCTCGAAATGTAACCTACACCTTCTAAAATATAACTTACATTGTCTCAAATGTAACCTACACTATCTCAAAATGTAATCTATATTGTCTCAACATGTAACCTACACTGTCTCAAAATATATTCCGCACTATGTGAAATGTCTCCATCACATTTGCAGAATATACCCATTGCTATCTCGGTATCAGCCCAGAATATTTATATCAAATAACGTAACACAACGTAATCTAAAGTTGTTTTGAATAAACGTTATATTTATATACGAAAGTATAATTTAAGAGATTAATCGGTTCTCAAAATTAATAACTGCCTTGAGGATAGCTTCAGTCGATTATCCCTTTCTGGCCTGTCTATGACGTGTATAAATGTCATTAATACACTTGATACATCTAAAGGTAGCATTAAAAAACACTTTTATATTCTTTCGTTGAAATTCCTGTCTCTGTAGATTTCTACTGTAGAATACTTCTTCAGAGTTGCTTCTCATATGTGTATACGGGGAAAACTGGTATCAAGATGCAAGCAAGTTTTATTTTTATTTTCTCAAAATAATTGTCACAAGAGTCATTTCAATAAAACTGTGTTTTACACTTGAAATCAAATAATTCGTGCTTAAAATAGAGACAATTTGCATCCAAAGAGAAAGCCCATTACGTCACAATTGAAAATAATGCAGGATCGCTTTGATTAAGCATATTCATTGAAGGTACTGTCAAATGCAAACTTCTTCTTATTTTCTCTATTTTTCGTCCACGCTCCCTAGCGTCGGCTTAAGCAGAATTCAACATTTAAACATGAAATGGTAAAATTATGAATTAAAGAGCATCCGCGCAGATGTGTTCATACGGCGGTTATCACTGAACCTTTAATATTACACAGTAGTGCCATTCCTTGAAAAGAGGCGCATTGTTCCCAAGCCATAAAAGGCTTGTGTTTTATAGAAAACAATTGGCGGAGCTAAACAAAATGGAATTTTGAAAGGGGGTCAAATGTTTTGAAGTCTGCATATCACAGACGATACGTCAAAAAAAGTAAACAAAAATAGGCAACACATCCTAAGTATGGTTCAACATTATCCAAGTATTGGGACCAGCAAACTAGAATAATGAAACAGGATCTGAAATAAAACATCTCTGAGTCAATATACGGGCGACTTTTTACAGCCTCAACACGACACAAACAACGCTGATGAGGCGATAAAACAGAAAAAAATAAGAATCCCCCCAAAAAAACGTTAACATGTCAAAATAAAACAAATGTTGCAGGCTCGGTTTGATTGAGCATGCTCATCGATGTTACAGCCAAACAAAACCTGGAAACAAAGTGATCACTCGGGAGCATTTATCAAAACAACATTACATGAAAATTGAAGACTCGGTTTGATTGAGTTTGTACATGAGGGATAATGAATAAGTGCAACATCCCTCACGCCCCCTAGCACGGGCTTGAGCGGTACTCAATTCTCAACATTTGATAGTACTGGCAAACCTTGTTTTGATGACGTAAAATATGGCGTCATTGTTTCTGCACGTTCTCGTGTTCAGCGAGCCGATTATGGTAATGTGTTTTCGACCACGGACTGCAAAGTCATAATCTGTTACTATATTTAATAACTTGTGAATTAACGGAAGTTACTACACTAAATCACACCACACATACGTAGAAATATCATAACATAATTTAATGTTACATACTGTTTTCGAAACCTTACGTAAGTCAACGCAACGCAGCATAACACAAAACAACATTCGACACACAAACACCATATAGGCAACACATTAGAACATACAAAAAAAACCAGTGCAACTTAACAAACAATACAACTCAACATAACAAAAAACATAACACAACTTACAATAATATACAACACAACATACAACACAATAGAACACACAACAAAACACAACACAATATGCAATACACAAAACCAAGCTTACGATAAAATACAACACAACATAACATGCAACACAATGTAATTTAAGAACAACATAACACAAAATACAACACATATATAAACACACTTCACAACATATAATACAAGGCAACATAATATGTAACACACAGCACAATAGATAAAACATCATAATAGACAACAGTGCAACACAAGACACAATACAATGCGAGGCACAATAGAACACAACACATAACACACCATAAAACATAACAGTTTATCCAACATAATTTAACCAAACGTCCTGATTTTAATTGATGTATTTAGTAATGGTGTAAGAAATATACGATTATCCACATTTGTCTTTGATACTTTCACTGATCCTGTATTTATTTCCTAAATTTGAATCTTTCATTGATTCTTCTTTCATTCCCTAAACTAATACTTTCACAGGGCTCCCATTAGGATCCAAGATAAGGAAGTCAGAGAAAGCAAAAAACCTAACAAGGGAAGTCACATTATATAGGTAAAAAGGAAAAGCGTTTCATTTTGGAAGAAACAAACCAAAAATAAGGAATCCATGACTCCCAAACTTCCACTAATGGAAGCCCTGCTTTCACTGTTTCTTCATTCATTTGCGAAATTTGATGCTCTCACTGATTCTTCATTCATTTCTCAAACTTGATACTCTCACTTATTCTTCATTTATTTCGTTAATTTGATACCGTCACTTATTCTCATTCATTTCCTAAACTAAACTGAATATTCTCGCTGATTCTTTATTTATTTCCTTAATTTTATACTCACATTCACTCTTCATTTATTTCTTCAACTTAATATTTTTACTGATTCTTCATTTATTTTCTAAATTTGATGCTTTTACTGATAATTCATTCATTTCCTAAACTTACTTATCTAAAAGATTCTTCCTCATATTCTAACTCGTACTTCTTCTCAATAAAGTTTTTAACAATTGCAAAGCATTACTAGTATGTGGTTATTATAAATGCTATCCTGACATCAATTGTTGATATTAAAATCAGTATGTTTATGTTGTTACAGATACTATTGATGATCTGATATCAGAGAAAATGGCGACCGCCAGTCCAGGTCAAGCTTCGCCGGCAAAGGCGCAGCAGAATCGTTGCCGTCTTTTTCGTCTGCAAATGCTGATTATTGACGGCGGACTACAAATACTAAGAAACATTTTTGATAAGAAACTTCAAAATGTTTCTCTAAGCGCATTTTTGCAACAAGAGAGGTCAACAATAACCAAATTAAGATCACGCGGAATAATTACTCAGGTGCAATATGATCTACTGTTTCCATCAGGTGGCAGCGGTCCAGCTACAACAGACCTAGACATCACGTTAATCATATGTCTCCTTAGGAACATCAAGTATTTCGGGCTGAACAAGAAGTTCCAATGGAACTCAATTCCTGCACAAGGTGATACTTCAGTTGAGGCTGATATTTCTCGTCTGAAAATATACAGGAACGAGGTAAAGTTTTTTATTTTATTTTTGCCAATGATACAAAAGCGAAACAACGTCACCACACTCGGCAATCTGATTAAAACTCGGGATCTACAACCCCCAGTACACATCAGATTATATTCAATGCTCTTTCTATAATGTAAATGTTCTTGTGATACACAAATATTAGGTATTTTAATGTTTTGTTGAGCTAGCTTTTGAATTATTGATATTAATCTAAATTACGAAAACTATATTTATATTTTATTCTTATATTGATTATAACTTAAACAAAAAATATGTATGAGTTATATTATTTTGATATTGCAACGAATGGGTTTCAACATAATGTATAATCGTATGATGCAGTAGCCTACTATATTAATTTCATTTTGTTACAGCTATGAATTTGTTATTAATGCACATGTATATTTTCGCTCCTTCTTTAGCTCAGTCACATATCTTCAACAAGTGGAATAACGCTGATTGTCTTCACAACAAAGTGGACCGAGATCGAGCAGGTAAAACTGACCGTATATATTACAAATAAGTTACTGTAAAAATCTGGAAATAAAGTGATCCCTCGTAGGCATTAATCACAACATAATTACATGAATATTGCAGACTCGGTTTGATTGAGTCTGTACATGAGGGATGTACGGATGTAAACCATGTTTATAGCACTTCACGCATAAAATATATATTTGTTTTATTTTCTAATATCTTATTAATCTTTATTCGTGGAACCAAGATGAATTATTTTTACATTTTTACAACGATTGCATTTTAACATAGTGTTTCCTCTGAAAATTCATTAAGGGAGAGTCATTAAACTGGGAGATCCCCCAAATGTTTTGGTCATCGTTGGGAAAAAGCCACTAAAAACGTGTGTGTGTGTGTGTGTGTGTTTGTGTGTCTGTGTGTGTGTATTGGTGTGCGTGTTTGTGTGTGGGGGTGTCTAGCGGTCACCTAAAGGCGTAGCTCTAGTTTTCTTTGATCATTGGGCAAAAAAAGGCCCGTCCAAAGATGTACAAATTGACGGAGGAGAAAGAGTCGGAAAAACTCACAATCTTTGGTTATGTATACAATGTCGGTCGTAGATGGGCGAACGCCGAAGATAAGTCACCAAGGTTGACAAGGAATTGTGGCCGGCACCTCACTGATAAAAAACGCTATTTAAGAGGCCGATGCGCCGATCACCAGATAAATCTCCGAATCTCAGATTAAAACCGGTCAGTACCCCATCGTCGGAGCATCGGAGCGGTTATGTGACATTAGCTTTATCATTGAGTTGGAACCAATAATTATCGCTCCCTGATAAGAAGACCTTGCTATTTCATCCAGAGCGTTACGTAATGCATATTCTCTGCTTATTTACATTATCAGCGCATCAACCATTTTCCCCATTGTGTCTCATTTTTTGGGAACAGCTTGACACCTGCCATCTAAGCTGAATTCAACATATTCCCTCATATTGAACTTCTCTAACTTTATATCTGAAGCACTAAAAGAGGTGAAAATGATTTAAGTACATAAGTCCATTAGCTATTAATTTTCGATATATACGAGGGCTGTTCGAAAAGAATTGCTTATTGTCCTCCATCTCGTGATTCACGTTGGACAGGATAAAAACCAATACATACATGTGTAGGGTAATGCAGTACCTACACAACGGTGTATAAATGTACATGTTAGACTAAGTGTAAGACATACAATTTGGTATTTAAATACACGCAGTCATCGACCACTGTAGTAATAAAAATGGTTGGTAGAAGCGTCGACAAAAAAGATGAAATACGGGCTTACATCAAGGCTCGCTCAAAACTGGGTTTCTCTTCGAAGCAGTTGATGACTGAACTCTCTACTGCTTATGGGCCTTCCTTTGTGTCTTAAGACACAGTTAGGCGATGGAAAAAGAAATTTAAGTCTGGTGTAGAGTGCATCAAAAATGCACCAAAATCAGGTAGGCATCTCGTAACGAAATTGTTTCCAAAATAAAGGATATCACTGAAGGATATGCCAGATTTATGGTTCGTGATATTGCACGAAAGGTAGGCATATCACTATCAACAGTTCACTTTATTTTGAAGAAGCATTTGAAAGTCCGAAATATTTCTGCTAGATGGGTGCCACATCTGTTTACCAATGAGAAAAAGAGGCAACGGGTTAAGGTGGCCAAAAAGCTGCGCCAAATGTTTCCAAAATATGACAAAAAACAGTGTGCCAATGTCGTAAGAGGTGATGGAACTTGGGTCCATTATTTTGAGCCCGTCAGAAAAGTAAGCAACAAAATCTGGGCCACTAAACACAACAAACGCCCAATAATTGCCAAACGGTCTTTGAGTGCAAAGAAGGTGTTGTATGCAATTTTCTTCTCTGGTGAAGGAGTCGCAATAAAAGTGCCAGTGAAAAGGGGCAAAAGTATCACTGAAAAGTACTACAAAGACATTGTACTTTGGAAAGTGAAAAAAAATATTATAATAAACGACGCCCTGTCACTGGTTTTATCATATCCGTCTTCTACATGACAATGCCCCCGCTCATACCTCCGCAATAGTTTCGGCGTTTTTGAAAAAAAAAACTGTTATGCCTCACCCCACATATTCTCCAGACCTTGCCCCATGTGATTTCTTTTTGTTTCCGAAATTGAAATCCTTCCTTGCTGGGCGGAAATACAAGTCCCGACAGGCACTTGGATCTGCAATTCATCAGTACCTTATTACTGTGCCCAAATCAGCGTACCGTGACGCCTTCAAGAAGTGCATACATCGGCTGAATCATTGCATTTCTAGCCGCAGGGAGTGCTTCGAGGGCATGAAATAAACACTTTTGAGCTAACTTGAAATTTGAAGTCTCCAGATAGAAATATGCAATACATTTCGATCATCCCTCGTTATGTTTATTTTTTGGAATATGATTTTACATGAAATTGATTGGATGAATTTGATGGCATTTACCATGTCTTTTTCCAGGTTCTTTTGAGGTTGAACACGGCGGTGTCACCCATACCAGACCTACAAAAGATGATTGATGACTTTAAAGTGAATCCACTCGATCCACAGGCGGAGATAAGGGTTCAGAAGGCCATAGACAGTTGGCAAACGTTGGAAAAGGGGGTAGAAGCTGATTTAAAACTGTTGAAAATGGAGGACGAGAAGATAAAATGTACTCTAAAAGTGCAAGATCAAACCACGAAAAAGCATGCACAGAGTATTGATGAATTAAAGAAGAAGACGTGTGAACATGATGAACAAATACATGACCATGCTAAACAAATACAAGAATTGAAGCTAAAGGAAGAAACTAGAAAAGGTAAATCTCAAATTGCTGTTTATTTCAAGATGTTTGATATTTCGTATGTTCGTTATAAAACGGAACAAAAACATATCATGAAAATCTTAAAATAGAGCGATGAATAATAGATTTTTTTTTCAAATATTTATAAGACCAATGATTGCCTATCGGAAAGTTATGGAGCTTTCTACCAAATACTTCAAATGATTATTACATTCATGATATTTATCATCAATTTAATAAAACAGTATTTACTTCTTTTAAGTTCTCATATAATATGTCACCTTATTTATCATTTTATATTTCAATCTGACGAAATCGGATTTAAAGGGATTCCACTGAGAGTTTTTTGACGTGAAGGGACAGAAAATATTCTTCCAAGATTTTTGTATACTAGACCAACAACTCGTGAAAAAGTTCAGATTATTCGCTCACTCTGTTTTCCCAGAAATAATCAATTTCATTGTACAAATTGGCCCAATAAATGAAAAGCGTTTAATCGATTTTCATTCATATCGACCAAAATTCGCATAAAAATCGATTATCAATTTCATAGCGTGTATATCTATATATCATCTATTGATTGATTACAAATTTAAATGTATCAGTTGATTAAAGAAAGAATTTCAAAATATATTATTTTCGGCTATTGTACCTCAGTGGAGTTCCTTTAATTAAATGCAGACAACATTTTGTAAAACTGTTTTTACACTTATTTGCGATACAAGTTTGCACAATATTAGTTAAATGTATTTTAATGTCTTAATGTAGATGACAAAGCAGATACAGAGTCAACATATGAAGAAAGTAAAAAAAGTAAGTCTTTTTACACTTAACATTTAAGTAAGAATCAAACATACCAGAGGATACCGTATACAACAAACGACGTATATAGATTACAGTGAGTTGTACTCATAATTTGAGAACGTATACAGATTAAGTTTTACATGTCTGAAGGTCAAAGGTCAATTTATTTAAGAAAAACCTCTTATAATAATTCTGGTCGTCGTTATGCCGGTGTTGTTGTAATAGTCGTAGTTGTATTAGTCATCGTCAGTCGGAGTCGTCATCGCTGTTATTTTTGTCGTAGTAGTTGAGGTGTTATTCGTAGTCTCCACAGTCGTAGCCGACGTCGTAGTAGGTATCTCCTTTACAAACCATTGATCGTAGTATTTGTAGTAGTAGATGTTGTCTAATGTGTTTGTAGAAATCCTAGTCGTAGTTGTAATTGCACAGTTGTGAAGCTGTGATTATAGGTGCAACCGTCGGTATTGTCGTGTTCGTATTTGTAGATGAAACAGTCATAGTAGTTGTCATTATCGTCGAAGCTGTAATCGTTGTTGTCATAATTGTAACCGTACTTCCAATTGCAAACTCGTAGTCACGATCATTTATCGAAGAATTCGTCGACGTAGTCATATTGTCAATGTATTCGTAGTCGTACAAATCATAGTTGTCACTGTACCCGAAGTCTATTAGTCGTAGTACTTGTAGTCGCCCTGTTTTGGTGATCGTAGATGTCTAGCATAATTTTGCTAAAGGACGTCGTCTTTTCTGATGTCGCCTTGAAGTAAATATGTAGATGCTTATCATAAATATTATGGCCAGACATATTTAAGAAAAAAATGTTATAGATGAAAAAGTTTGACACCGACTTTTCTCCACTTTGACAGTCCGCCGTTATATCAAAAGGGTCTACACAGTGATCAAGTAGGGATATTCTAAATGGCTTTACTGAAGTCCGACCACACACATTTTGATAAGCATGATTAAATAAGTCAAAGTCCAAAAACAAAGATTATGTTGCCTTTTTCGGCAAAGTAGTTCGCAAAGAGCCCGAGTAACGTCTTTAAAATTGTTTCATAAAGCCGCTCAGAGTTTCTGATTCTTTTAGATGCTTCTCCATTTAAAAAGTTCATATATACTGCAAAAACACTCGTAAAAAATGGTGATTTTCATCTTTTAGTTTTGGGTGCTAAATTAAACGTTAATGATTAAGCTTGGTTAACATATTGTATTATGTGTCAAACACTAATTCATAGTCTATTTTTTATCGCCTTTTGCTTAAAATCTGGTAGTTTTGTGTAAAATTTCCAAAATATTTGCCAATTATTGACCTGTTTATTTCAAGTCTTCATATTTGCCATACATAATAACATAATTATAATGCAAAATTTCAAACATAAAGCCCCGGCTAACAAATTTATACCCTATTTTTTCAAATGTCCCGGAGTTCTTGTGATAACTCAAAATATGTCATGGAGTTCTTATGATAACTTTTGTTACTGCCAATGTGTTTCTTGTGTTAAATTACGTTTTAGCGTTTTTTTATTTATTCAATAAGGTTGTTAACCATTATGAAATGTAGTACGCTCATTTTTTTGCACAAAAATGAGGATATATAATGTTGGTTTTGAGTGTAATTCAGTTAAAGAGATTTTACTGAGATATCTTATCCCCGTTTCTTTTTTATGGTATTTTTGCTGACGCAGATTTCGTAGACTGGAAAAAGGATTGATGTAGAACATTGATTTTCATGATAAAATGCGCTCAGGTATGGTGTCTTCATGTATATTTTTTCTGCCGATGTTTGATGGGTATTTTCCCTATGTAATCTTAGTGGCGGAAACTCTCTCTTAATTTTGCTGTAATTGATAACAAAAGTATATTTTAGTCAAACTTGTTTCGTTCGAACCCAGAGGGACTTGCAAATTTGTTCGAGAAATCGGTAGTTATAGAGCCAACCGCATTTGCGTTTTTATCATATTGTCGTACTTTTTGGAAACATAGGTTTGATTGAAGAAATTATCCTGGTTTTATACATGTAATTGTTTATTATGGTATCAAATATGATACAAATTACTTAGATAGGCCATGATAGTGTCGCTGATTAAATCTTTACTGCAGAAGATGATAGCCTATCACCGGTTTTTCCTTTGCAGACACCCAAGACCAACATTTTATCCACATTTTTTGTGCAAAGGATGAGCGCATTATATTTCATAAGTATTTACAACCTTATTGTACATAAAAACGCGCCGGAATTTAGCACAAGAAACACATTGGCTGTAACAAAAGTTATCATAAGAACCCTAGGACATATTTTATGTTGTCACAAGAACTCCGGGACATTTGTAAAATCGGGTAGAAATTTGTTAGCCGGGGCTTTATGTTTGAAATTTTGCATTATAATTAGGTAATTATGTAAAGCAAGGATGAAGACTCGAAATAAACAGGTCTATATTTGCGAACTGGCAAATAATTTGGAAATTTTACTCAAAACTACCAGATTTTAAGCAAGAGGCGCTGAAAATGGAATATGAATTAATTTTTGACACATAAAACAATATGTAAGGCAATCTTAATTAAGCACCTAAAACTCACTTTTTAAAGATGAAAATTACCATTTTTGACGAGTGTTTTTGCAGTATATACAATAGGTTTCCGACGAGCTCCGTGACAGTTATCACAAGAACTCCTTGACAAGTTATCATAAGAACTAAATCCCTTGTGTAACACTTCCTCCCCCGTGATATTGATTGGTAGGCAGAGCTTAAAAATATATCTCAAATTCTATTGGACAATAAATTCTATTGGACAATAGTTAATGACAGCCCTGATGAGTACTCTACACATCCGTTAACCTGTTGCGAGAAGAATAGCTGGTTGTCGGTATAACAGCTAATTGCGAATATAACAGCTGGTAACGGTAGTACAACTGGTTGCAGATAAATAGATCGTTGCGGTAAACAACTGGTTGCGAATAAAACAACTCGGTGCGGTTGACAAACTAGCTGCGTATAGAACCGCTGAATACCGTATAACAGCTGGTTACGAACAGACAAGCTGGTTCCAGTATTACAGCTGGTTGCGGATATAACATGAGGGTAAGATAGAACAGCTGGTTGCGGATATAACATGAGGGTACGATAGAACAGCTGGTTGCGGATATAACAGTTGGAAAAGGTCGAACAGCTAGTTGCGGATATAACAGCCGGTTACGGTAGAACAGCTGGTTGCGGATATACAAGCTTGTTCAGGTATTACAGCTGGTTGCGGATATAAAAGCAGAATGAGGTAGAACAGCTAATTGCAAATGTAATAGCTGGTTTGGGTAGGACAAATGGTTGCGGTTATTACAGCTGATTACAGTAGAACAGCTGGTTCCGAATATAATAGCTAGTTATGGTATGACAGCTGGTGGCGGATATAATAGCTGGTTACGGTAGGACAGCTGGTTGTGGATATTACACGTGGTTACGTTAGGACTGCTGGTTGCGGATATGACAGCTGGTTACGATAGAACAGCTGGTTGTGGATATAACAGCTAATTATAGTTGATCAGATTGTTGCGGATAAAACAGCTGGTTACGATAGGATAGCGGGTTGCGGATATAATAGCTGGTTACGGTATGACAGCTGATTGCGGATATAATAGCTGGTAACAGTAGAACAGCTGGTTGTGGATATGACAGCTGGTTACGGTAGAACAGCTGGTTGCGGATATAACAGCTAATTACTGTTGATCAGATGGTTGCGGATAAAACAGAAGGTTACGGTAGGACAGCTGATTGCGGATATAATAGCTGGTAACAGAAGAACAGCTGATTTCGGATATAACAGCTGGTTACGGTAGGACAGTTGTTTGCGGATATAAAAGCTAGTTACGACAGGACAGCTGGTTGCGGATATAACAGCTTATAACGGTAGAACAGCTGGTTTCAGATTTAACAGCTAATAACGGTAGAACAGTATGTTGCGGTAAAACAGCGGGTTGCCGAAAGAACAGCTGGTAGCGGATGAAATAGCTTGGTACGCTAGAGCGGATGGTTGCATGTACAGCGGTGGTGCGGTATTTCTACATAATTTGCACTAAAGTAAGTCGTTTCGTTTTTGCATTATATTGTTGCAAAATATACCTTTACATAGTGCCAAAAGAAAACTACCTGTCTTTTTTAAAGATTAAATCTGAAATCCGTCTTGTGAGATATGTTCATTTTGGAGGGAAAAAACACAAAAAAACGATCATGCACATTCTATGCGATATTTTAATTAAAGTAACATAATGCTGTCAAGTTGAGTTTATATTTCAACTTTGTGCTTGTGCAACAGTTGGGGTTTTAGTTTAAAATGTGGCAAAATAATGTCCATCTTTGAATTAATTTTAATTTCAATACAAACTTGATATTAGAAATAATATTCCATTTTCCTGATAACACGAATAAACCATAGTTATTTGTCTGAGCGAAAAAAAGAAAAAGAAAACAACACACACACACACACACACACACACACACACACACGCGCACACACACACACACACACACACACACACACACACACACACACACACACACACGCACACACACACACACACACACACAAAACACAAAAAAAACGACACAAAAAACAAGTGCCCTCCATCTTGCCGAAAACTACGAAAACTACTAATACCTACGCGTTTACTGTTGCGTTTGTTCTTATTTCATGATCATTACTTAAGAAAATAAAAGTAAATACTTCTTCTGCTGCTCCTGCTGCCACTGCCGCTACCACTTCCGCTACCACTACCACTATCAACACCACTACCAACACCAACACCACTACCAGCACCACTACCAACACAACTACCATCACCACTACCACCACCAACACCACCACTACCACCATCACTACAACTACCACCACCACTACCACCACCACAAACACCACTACCACTACAACTACCACTATCAACACCACCACCAACACTTCTACCACTACCACTACTACTACCACTACCAACACCACTACCACTACCACCTTCACCACCACCA